ATCCAATCTGATAGCCTGTGTCTTTTGATTGGGGCATTTAGCCCATTTATATTCAGGGTAACTATTGAAAGTTATGAATTTAGTGCCATTGTATTGCCTGTAAGGTGACTGTTACTCTGTATTGTCTGTGTTCCTTTCTAAGATCTATAGTATTTTCAAAATGTAAAAGTTTTAGAAGCATATCATGTACTGTATAATAAATGAAAAATTTCCCTAGCTCTTCTCTTTTCCACTTATCTCTTTCCTTGACCCTATATTTATATTTTTGTCCCCTCCCCATACTTAATTCTATTTTTAATTTTCTTTCCCCCATCAAGTTTTCTCTGTGGTTGCTTTCTCTTTCCCCTTCCCTTTTCTTTCCCCATCTTCTTTCTCATTTGTCTTCTGATAAGTTACTGATTGCTCTTTTATCTGTTCTCACTGGGTCTTGCAATTATAACTTTCTTTCTCGGTTCCCTCTTCTTCCACCTTGTAAAGTGTTCGGTCTTCAGCATCCAGGGCTCATACCAAGTTATATTTATATTATTTGGGCAGATAGATCTGAGTCTCTCTCACAGATCATCCTTACCTTTTAATGGCCAGAGTAGAATACATCTAGTAGGGTTTGGTGGAGGAAACTTTAAATTTTATGTTCAAAGATTGAGGTTCTTAAGGATCATTCTTACCAGTCTTTTTTATTCTCCTCTTATAGGGAAGAAGAGGAACGTTTGAGAAACAAAATTCGAGCTGATCATGAGAAGGCCCTGGAAGAAGCAAAAGAAAAGTTAAAAAAGTCGAGGGAGGAAATTCGAGCAGAAATTCAGACAGAGAAAAATAAGGTGGTCCAAGAGATGAAGACAAAAGAGAAGAAGCCACTGCCGCCGGTCCCTATACCAAATCTAATAGGAATAAATGGTGGAGACCCAGAAGATAATGACATAAGAAAGAAAAGGGAAAAAATTAAAGAGGTAATAAAACAGATTTATGATGTGGAGTGGTTTTGGTATTTGACTGGATTTAAATATATATGCATTTGTATCATCTATGGTGTCATACTTTGTTCTTGTTTGTTTTGGGGTCATGGTCATAGTTCAGATTCCAAGTTGGCAATAAGGGCTAGAACTTTCTTAATATGGATTACAGTATAATTATTGGACACTTAAAATTTTGATATAATGTTGTTTGCATCATTATACCACTCTGTTGAGATAGCTTTTGATATTCAACATTTTATAAACAATGTAGAATAGATCTGTAAATAATTTATCATTGAATAAGAAATTTCTGAAGTGTTTAGTTACAAGGGACTCTGCTAGATACTATGCAAATCTCCTCATAAACATACCTCTGAAGAATTAGCATTATATCTGCCATCTTTTAAAGACTAGGTCATGAAACCCTTCTCCCATATTGCATGTATCTTCCAGAGTCTCAAAGGATTGAAGAATGGGGAACAGTTGACCTCAGAATTCTTTAAATTGTTTAGTCTCAGAAGTCTTTCAATTTGTTATTCTAGGAATTACTTGGAGATAAAGAGAATGCCAGTGTGTGTGTTTGGGGGGGAATTTAGTGAATATTACAGTTAAGTTTTGTTAATTAGAACTCCTGCTGATTTTTGGTAGAGTTTGCCATTGTACTGCCTGTGAAGAAAAAGATTTTGTCAGGTTGTAACAGTATCAGCAATATTTCAAAAGGATTGTTTATCATAAAATAAGACAGAACATTAGTTCAAATAGTTAAATATCTATTTGGATATATTCTAGTAATGAATATGAAAGATTTAGCAGGTACTTTAAGCTTGGCCTTATGAATTATTGTGAGACCTTGACCTTGATGGAATCAAAATAGAGCTGTACTCTGATGTTACCTCAGCTCTGGAGTCTCTTTTATGTGCTGGCTGCTAAAGGCACTTTCTTTGGACCGTATTGGGAAAACATTGATAGTTTTTTTTTTTTTTTTGAGATGACTGACCTATTTTTTAGATGTTATTAGAATTTATTGAAATACCTTCTTATGTACATAACAATTCAAGTAACAGTGTGTGTTTAGGGGACTCCCAAGACCACCCACAGCCTCAGTGATTTGCTAGAGGTATTCCCAGAACTTGGCAAAGCTGTTGTATTCATGGTTTTGGTTTATTACAGCAGTAGCATACGGATTAAAATTAGTAATAGAAAAGGCCCATATGATGGAGTCCAGGAGACACCAGATGCAAGTTTCTAGCTGTCCTCTTCCAGTGGAGTGGTATGGACAGTGCTTAACTCTCCCAGCAGTGATGTGTGGTAAGGAAGTATGGCCAACCAGGGAAGTTCCCCTGAGCCCTGGTGTCCAGGGTTTTTATTTGAGGTTCATTATGTGGGAGTGGCTGACTTTAGTTCTCCAACGCCTCTAAAGGTCAGGCTGATACCATGTGGCTCAAGGCCCCCACCATAAATCACATTGTATGGGTAAACTGTCTGACATGGCCCAAGGCTACACTTAAACGAAGATACTCCAAAAGGCAGGATAATAAGATTTAGTGGTTATTTTCCAGGAGTCTGGCACAGGCCAAATCTTTCTTTGGGATGTAGAGGATTTGGACAACCCAGACCTGGTGAGTTAACCCTTTAGAGCACACCATAATATCCAGTGTTCTTACAAATCAACACAAAACATATTAAGGCCTCCTGTATAGGCTCCTATTAAACATTATGGCCCCTGGCTTAGTATGCAGAGAAAGTTGAAACTGAAGCTCATAGGGGAAGAAACTAACAAGAGGCAAGGTGATGTGAACTGAAGGATACCTGAAAGTTTGAAGAGTTAGAGACATTGTTTACTTCTGAAGGCAGGGGTATAAAATGAAGTTGGAAAGGGATTATTTGAAAATTTTAAAAAGTGCTCTTAACTCCTAGATCCCCAGTTCTCCAGCTTAGGCATCCTAGCTGCTGCCTTCCCTTCCCCAACAGAAGACTAAAGTGTACCTTTTGGAGGGATAAATTAGAGGAGGTCTGGATTTGGGGAATACCAGTTATCGCTGAGGGAAAACACAAAAAAGGTGGTTAGGGTGGAGGGAATTAAGTGAAAAGTGTTCTGAATATTGAGACCGTTTTCTCCTGCTCAGCTCTCAGAATTCTGGCAGCCATGTTTTTATATTCAGTAAGCGGAAGATGGGGGGACTTCTCTCCAGTGAGACTGGCCCAAGAAAAGAGACCTGCACTGTTCCTCAGTGAAAACCCCTGGGTTTCACCTGTGCTCCCTAAGATGAGGCTCAATTCAAGTTTTGCTCATTCACTGGCAGCATTTAATTATCTTGTAAGTGCTTCCCTCTTACGTGAAGAACAAACCAAAGACCACCAGGTGTTTCAGGAAAGTTTCTCACACTAGAGAGCAAAACAGATGAAGGATTCAGGAATTCAGAAAATACAGAAACAATACAGGGAGGACCAAAAAATAACAAAAAAGAATTAACATCATTGGAGTGACAAAAAATGGAACTCATAAAATGAGAACAGTAAGCTATGAAAAGGAACATTTGCAGAATATGAAGGAGCTCTTAGAAATTAAAAAATATGATAGAATTTTAAAATTCAGTAAAAGAGTTGGAAGATAAAATTGAGCAAATCTCTCAGTAGAATAAAGAGATGAGCAAACAAGAAAGTAAGATCAGTCAGGAACATCTAACAAGTGATTAGATGAGGAAAATAGAGAAGAAGTCAGTTTAAGAAAATTGGCTAAACCTAAAGAATGTGAGTTTACAGATTGAAAAGAACCTACCAACAATGAGCAAAAAAAAAAAAAAGGAAAGAGAAAGATTCCTTCTGAAATTTTAGAAAAATAGGCATTCAAAAACAGAGCCTAAAAATTTAGAGAGGAAAAAAAAGTTTCCATTCAAAAGGGGATTGTATATAATGGCACCTCAGATTCCTCAACCATAATATTGGAAACTGGAAGAGAGTGGAGCAATGGCTTAGAAAGAATTATATATTCAGCCAAATTGTGAATCAAATCTGAGGGTAAATTTAGTCATTTTCTCAGATTGCTACTGGAAGCTATGCTTCAGCACAAAAATAGGAAGAGAAGACATTTTGGCAACAAGGGATCTGTCACTAGAGAGAGAGGAAGGGCATTCTCAGGACTCTGAATAAGGGACTCAGCAGGGTGACTGCTGTGCTTCAGGCGGAGAGAACAGAAGTCGAGGTTAGAGCAGGAGGGATAGCTTCAGGAAGTTTATATCAGGATAAAATGGAACTGATAGTTTATCTGATGTGTTTGATTATACTGAGACAAGTTTTTGAAGCTCAAGTACAATTTGGGAGTAGATTCAGAATTGTTACATTAAAAACCTAAGTAAACAAAAAAACCCAAGCCCTCAGACAAGTAATTAAAAGCAGGAAAAACAAAAGTTGCATAAAGTAATATAATTATAAGAAAAACTTGTTGTTAATTACATTGGGAGGATGTGGGCCAGGGAAATATATGTGGGGAGGTGTATGTGGAGGTACTGGTATAAAAGAGCTAAATTATCTTAACTATAGGGGAATATAGTACATACCTAAACCTTTTTTTAAAAATCAAGAAATAGCACTATAAACTCTATTTCAAGATATAGTGATAAATAGAAGAACAGGTGAAGGGCGCCTGGGTGGCTTAGTTGGTTAAACAGCTGCCTTTAGCCCAGGTCATGTCATGATCCCAGGGTCCTGGGATTGAGTCCCGGGTAGGGCTCTCTGCTCAGCTGGGAGCCTGCTTCTCCCTTTCCCTCTGCCTGCCGCTCCCCCTGCTTGTGCGTGCTCTCTCTCTCTCTGCCAGATAAATAAAATCTTTAAAAAAAAAATTGAGCTTTTTGAGACATATGTATAAAATAAATTGTACCTATTTTAAGAGTACTGCTTGTCGATGGGTTTTGACAGATGTACATACCTGCATAACAACTATTATCAAGATGTTTATAATCTCGGACTTTTTTCTTGTGCCCCACTCTGGTCAGTCCACCCAAATCCTTGGTCCCAGGCAACCACTGATCTACTTTTAGTCATTATAGATGAAGTTTGTCTTTTTCAGAGTTTCAGTCAAATGGAATCATAAAGTATGAAAGTGTGTGATATTTTGTTTCTGGGCTTTTGCTCAGCATAATATTTTTGAGATTCATCTATGTGGATTGCACACAAAGGTCATTTTTTTCTTAATAGTATTCCATTGTATAGGTATACCGTAACTTGTTTTATTTATTCACCTGTTGAACACTTGTTCAACATTTGTTCCAGTTTTTGGCTATAATGAATAAAGTTGCTATGAACAGTTGTGTACAGGTATGTGTGTGGGCACATGATTTAGTTTTAATTTTGACATTTCAGTCTGTGATCTGTTGCCAGTTAATTTTTTGTTTATTGTCTGAAGTAAGGTCTGTGCTTCAGTTTTTGCCCATAGGGCTTTCTAGTTGTTTCAGCATCATTTGTTGAAAATATTATCCTTTTCTTATTGAATTACCTTGGCACTTTTATTCAAAATCACATGACAAAATCAGTAGGTGTTGAGCCTCTTTGTGGACTCATGCCTATTCTGTAACCCTTAATGCCAATAGGACACACTGTATTGAATACTTTAACTTGTAGTAAGCTATGACATCAGGTTAAATCCTCCAGCTTTGTTCTTTTTAAAAACTGTTTTGGCGTATCTGGGTCCTTTGCCTTCTAGAATTAGCTTCTTTATGAAAATAGAAGGTTGCTGGAGTTTGGGATTTTACTAAATCTGTAGATGAATTGGGAAGAATTATTAACACTATTCAGTGTTCCATGAACATGTTACATGTTTCCACTTACTTAGGTTTTCTTTGATTTCTCAGCAGTGTTTTATATTTCTCAGTATATAATTCTTGTACATATTAATTTATTCTGAAATATTTCATGTTTGAAGCTAATATAAATGGAATTATTTTTTAATTTCTATTGTTTATTACTAGCATATAGAAATATATTTGATTTTAGTTTTCTGAACTTGTTTCCCTGTTACTTTATTGAAATCATTTACTAATTCTTAAGATTTTTCTTTATAGATTGCTTAGGATTCTCCTTATACATAGTAATGTGAATAGAGGTACTTTTCCTTTTTGATTTTTATGCCTTTTATTTCTTTTTCTTGTATCGTTACACTGGCTAGGACTTCCAGTACATTGTTGAAAATTGGTGGTGAGAATGGACATACTTGATCTCAACTTTAGGGGTTAAGCATTTAGTCTTTTTCCATTAAATATGATGTTAGCTGTAAGTTTTTTGAAGATCCCCTTTTTTAGGTTTTAGATGTTTCCTTGTAGTTTACTGAGGGTTTTTATCATGAATGGGTGTTGAATCTTGTCAGGTGCTTTGTCTACCTCTATAAAAATGATTGTATGATGTTTTTCCCTTTATATTATTCTGAATTATATTGATTGGTGTTTGTTAAATTAATCTTCTATTCCTGGGTTAAACTGTACTTGATCATTATGCAGTATCCTCTCTCTATTGCTAATTTTTGTTAAGGAATTTTGAATCTGTGTTTTTGAGGTATATTAGTTTTCAGTTTCCTTGTAATGTCTTTGTCTGGTTTTGGTGTCTGAATGATGCAAACTGCAAAAAAACAAGTTGAGGAATATTTTAATGAATAGTATACTGTTAATTGAATAGATTTTTTATATACCACAGTCCACTATTAAATAATTCAACTGTTATGTAATTAAATACTCTGCTTTGTGTAGCTTGGAGCTCCTCGCGTTGTAAGAAGTGCAGTTCAAACTAGTTGATATAAAAAATATTTATTACCTTAGTGGCTCTAAAGTAGGGCGTCAAGCTTGGCTTGGCTAAGTCCACATTTTAGATGTTGTTGTTAATAATATGCACCCTTGTCCTTTTGTTGTTTAGTTTCTCCATGTTGGGGGAGTGTTAGCCCCCATCAGCTCCAAGATGGTATATTACATAGACCTTGAGATTGCAAATCGAGAGAGTCCCTTCATCTATCCATAAAAGGACTTGATTGCTGCTACTTGAATCATACCTACCTAGTCACTTTGTTTAGGTCAGGGGTTGGCAAAATAGAGCCTGCAGGCCAAGTTTTTTTTTTTCTGTTGTGTAGACTGAGGTTAAACATGGTTATGTGTGTTAATCACACTGGTACAAATGTTAATAGAATAGTATCCTAATGTAGGAGATACAGGAGAGTGGGCAAGGCAATAGTGATATATGATCTAGATAGATGAAATAACAGTCTGTGAGTAATGTAAATTGATGGATTATAATTTTTCCTTTCTCAGATGATGAAACATGCCTGGGATAATTATAGGATATATGGATGGGGACATAATGAACTCAGACCTATTGCAAGGAAAGGGCACTCCACTAATATATTTGGTAAGTTTACTTCTAATTATATATCCACTACTATATCCGTTTTCTACCGCCATCTTTAAAACAGAATCTAACTTTTTAAGTACTTTATAAAATCTGAGTATTTCTATGTAACAATAATTTGAATTATAATAAGTGTATAACATGTACTTTGTTTCTTTTTTTTGCAAGTTTCAGTCAAGATTTAGTGATAGTTGCTTTGGAATATACAGATGATGTGGTAGATTTTCTATGTGTGTATACACACACACACAGATGTTATAGTCATTTATCTGAGTATTTTGAAGCTTTTTCTGCATTTTTTTTTCTTTAGTATCAGAGAAGTCCAGTACCTATTTGTAATTTTTCTTCAAACGTAGTTCCGATACTGCTCATATTGTAGAGGAGGAGGGGATGCAAAAGAAAGCAGTAGTGCTGTGTATGTATAAAAAGTCACATGCCCAGGGTGATTTGGTTGGTAAGGTGAGTGGGTTATGTTGTACATTCACAGTTCCAAGGGAAGGATTAATGTGTGTGTGGATGGAGGTCTGGGGAAGAGCCGTGTTCACCTTAGTTTGCTTTAACTTTCTACCTCTCCTGAGTTTACTCCACTTGGTAAACTCAGTTTAAAAAAGTAAGTTAATTTACTTAACTTTTACTTAACCCAAGGACAAATCTTGAGAATTATCAAGCTGTTCTTTATCGACTTCACCTCTTTCCCCCGTTCTCAATTTTTCTTGATGTGATGAATATCTTTTAAGTAATGATATGTGAAGGCAAGAAAATATTAATGGGGTAGGAAGGCACACATACTAGCTTTGTTTAGTGTAGTTATCTTTACTAATTATAATGTGCCACCACAGTAATCTTAATAACATTTTTCTTTGTGATATTTGGAAGAATTTTTCTAATACTACGATTTCTCTTATAATTTGTTTATTGCTTGGTTATTTTTTGTAAAAAATAAAGTGACTGAAAAGATCATTTCTCCCAGGTTTGAGAGATGTTGGGATGGAGGGATAATTTTCCTTTAGGTAATCAAAGACACTAGAGATCTTTTAATACAATATTTAAGTTACTGTCTATCACTAACGTAATACAATATTAAGTTAGTGTCTATCACTTAATGAAATAAAGCATGTTTCCTCAGTAGAGGTTACAGATAGAAAAGTTCCCATTGCTTTGTGGATACCCCATTATGAGACATTAGTGCAGGGAAATTTATATTTAATGATTAATTAAAATTAGATCCTTTCTTCAAGTAAATATTTCTTTATATTAAACTCAGTGGTAAACTTGTGAGTCTTTTTAAAAGGATTGGAGTATAAATGTGTACTGAAAATAAGAGTTGGATGTTAATTTTCTACTTGTTTTTTTAAACCTTATTTCTCCGAACATCTACTATATTAATATTTATCAGAGGTATGGGTTCTAAGCAAGGTAGTAGGTAAATAACATACATTATTTCATTTAATCATTGAAGTGACTGTCTAAGGAAGGTTTGTTTGCTGAATTTAAATTCAGAATATAAATGAGTCTTTAGGTAACTATTTTAGCAAGTAAAAGGGGTATTTCTTTCTTAACTGAATGTTTTGTTAGAATCCTAATGGAGAAGTTTTGACTTAATTTTTTTTCTATTTAAAAACAATAGCTTTTTTTTTAAATGAAAGGTGGTTTTAATTTGTGGTAATTTTGTCAGACTTCTTCAAATGTAAACTTTGTAGATTACTCTTTGGTTAGGTTGGTGAATGATGATGACTGGGGCATGGCAGGTTCAAATTATTGTCAGGTGAGTTCTTGCCAGCTGGTTATTAGAGCATTTAAGTTGATTTTGTGGGTAAACTGAGAATTATCTGTGAGATCCTAAAGGTTAAAGGAAGTTAGAGTTGGAAAGGGAGACTTTACAAAATAAGCCCTTTTATTCTGAGTTAACGAGGTACAGAGGCAAGGTTTTGCCAGTGGTCCTCCATTTCAGAGGGATCATCATGTAAATGAAGGCAATTAAGTACATTATCAACAAGAAGTTTTACCTTCTTTGCTACCAGTCTGGCAAGAGATCAGTAACGTTAGGGATTCTGTAATTTGGTTTATGAATAAGACTATTTTCCTTTAGAACAATAGTCTTATGCACATTAATAGAAACTTCAATAGTATTTGTATAGTTCATATTGCTGTGGACTGAATTGTGCCCCCCATAAATTTATATGTTGAAGCTCTAACCCCCAAGTCATTATATATGTAGATAGAGTAGGAGTTAATAAATGAGGTCATAAGTGTGGGGCCCTAATCTGATAGGGCTGGAGCCCTTAAGAGAAGAGGAAGAGACACTAGAGCTTGCTCTCCCCATGCACATGCACCAAGAAAAGGTCCTATGAGGGCATAGTAGGAAGATGGATGTCTACAAGCCTTCACCAAAATCTGGAACCTTGATTTGGACTTTTACAGCCTCCAGAACTATGAGAAAATAAATTTCTGTTGTTTAAGCCTCCTAGTCTATATATTTCATTATAGCAGCCCAAGCAAAGTGATAAATGTAGTAGATACTGAGGGCTGGTTTTAGAGATTTATATGAATGAACTTACTTTGCATTCAAAACAACCCTAAGAGGCAGGTGCTGTGGTTACTGTTTCCATTTTATAGATGATGAAATTGAAGCACAGTTAGGGTTAACTGTCTTGCCCAAAGTCACCCAGTTAGTAAATAATGGAGCCAAGATTTGAATCCCAGCTGTCTAGTGTCAAGGTCCCTTTTCTAACCACCATTCCACACTGTTTCAGTAGACTCTAAGGAAAGAAAAACAGAAATAGCAGAACACAGGAAAAAATCCATCGTGAGAAGAAAATTCCAGTGAAATGGTAGAAAATGTGAAAATGCAATCTATAGAATTTTCAGTAATCAAAATTAGGTGCTTGTATCTTTTATTAAAATTTTTGAGTGGTTATAATTTTTTCCCTCCAAATAAGCTAACTAGGGATGGATCCTTTATTGTTTATTTTGTTTTATATTTTTAGATATTAGTTTATTAAAGGATTAATAAACAAAGCTCAAGACTTTGTTTCCCACTTATTCTGTTCTTTTTTGCATCTCATGTTCTTGCTAGTGAGTATGATTTGGAAGCTTAAAAAAAAAAAGTTTTTTTTTTTACTTTTTCGTTGTTTACACAGAAGAAGTCTAACCAATGGGTGATAGTTCTGAGTGTCTCATTTGACATCCCAAATTCAGTTTGCCTTTACAGAATCAGAATCTTAGAGTTGAAAGGGACTTTAAGTTTAAAAGTCTGGCCTCTCTATTATGGAACCATATAGGCTGGTATTGAACATATAGGAACATACAGGTGAGTATTGAAACTTGTAGTATTTGAGATTATATGGAGAACAACTTAAAATGTGTCCTTTTCCATTTTATTAGCTTTAATTATGAAAAAAATCCTTTAAATGGTAACTGAAATCAGTGTTCCTCTGACTTCTAATAGCCCTTGGCATTATATGATTCTTTATGTGCAGAAAACAGAAAACCCATTTCATAATGGCTTAAACTAAAAGAAATTTAATCAACTCAGTGAAGTCCTAGCATAGATTGGAGTCCAGCTAAGCTTTTTCTTTATGTCTTTCCTCTGTTTTCCTTTGTGTGTTGGTATCTTCAGACTGGCTTCTTAGCAGGATGGCTGCCTCAGCTCGAAGCTTTATATTTTCATGTTACCACATCTGTAGAAAAGAGAACACTGTAGAGAAGGGAGTACTTGGGTTTCTCAGAAACTTCATTGAAAGACTCATTGTTTCTTGTCTCTAACTGGCTTTTGTGCCCATCCTCGAACCAAATGCTGTTCCAGGTGGGTGGCATATATTCCTTTGATTTTACCCAGTTAAGGCCGACTCCTGGAGCTAGTGAATGCAAAGAAGGAAATGTTGCTGGATGTAAATTAGCGCTGGTGTTAATTATTCCAACAGTGATTCATGGAATGAATTCTTTTTACTTAGACATTCTGGAGAATAAAAAGTTTTATTATGGATAGGTCTCTTTGTATTTAAAAGAAAGAATTTTGCTTTGGAAAAGAGTGTTACTAACTTTGCAGTGGTTTTTGAAGTATGCTTTTATTTTCAGTATGTATCTATGTATGTGTTCGTGTAAATTCTTTTTGCTATTTCCAACTTAACTGGGTTTTGACCTCTAATATTTTGTCAAGGATTTTTGCATTTATATTTTGCATTATCTTTGTCTTGTTTTGATATCAGAGTAATGCTGGCCTCATAAAATGAATTTGGAAGTGTTCTCTGCTCTTCATATTTCTGGAAGAGATTGTTTAACATTGATTTTATTTTCTTCTTTAGTGTTGGTAAAATTCACCAGTGAAGCCATTGGCGTCTGGAGAGTTTTTTTCTGGGAGGTTTTTAATCTGTAAATTCAGTTTCTCTAGCAGGAAGGACCGATCAGTTTATCTGCAATTGACTCTTGAACAATACGGTTGTGAACTGCATGGGTCCACTTATATGTGAGTTTTTTTGATAAATACAGTATAGTAGTATATATTCTCTTATGATTTTTTTCAAATTTTTATTTAAATTCTAGTTAGCTAACATACAGTGCAATATTGGTTTCATGAGTAGAATTCAGTGATTCATCACTTACATACAACACCCAGTGCTCATCACAAGTGCCTTCCTTAATACCCATCACCCATCTCTAGCCCATCCCCCACCCACCTCCCTTCATCAACTCTTAGATTGTTCTCTATCTTTAAGAGTCTTTTTTAAGATTTTATTTATTTATTTGAGAGAGAGATAGCAAGAGATAGAGCATGAGCAGGGGAAAGAGGGAGAAGCAGGCTCCCTGCTGAGCCGGGAGCCCTATGCTAGGCTCAATCCCAGGACCCTGGGATCATGACCTGAGCTGAAGGCAGATGCTTAACCGACTGAACCACCCAGGTGCCCCTATCATTAAGAGTCTTTTACAGTTTTTTCCTTCTCTTTTTTTTCTTTTTTTCCCCTTCCCATATATTCATCTGTTTTGTTTCTTAAATTCCACAT